ATAACCTTCTTTAGCTTCTAATTAATATGAATTTGCTCTATTAAATACTTATTATAGTAGTATTATTTTCGAAAATAATGAAATTAATATATGTAAAAGATTTTTATCTTTTAGATGTGATGATTTGCCACATTTTTAGAGGAAATTTAATGTTCTTAATAAAGAGAATTGCTATTTTTTCAATTAATATACATGCTGAATGGTATATAAAACTAGGAAACTATCCAAAAGTCAGTTTTTTATATTATAAATTTTTTATCGCTTAGGTGACGCCTAGGTGCCTGCTTAGGCGACTAGGTGCCCCAGTGTTGCCCAGAATCGCCTAGACGCCTTGAAAACTATGACTGGAATAGTAAAGGAATTTAACAAATGCAGGCAAAATAGGATCCATAATATAGACCATAGAGTGTAAAATTGTTTAATTTAAAAGGCCATTACCCAATGTTGGTCTCAGTTATCTGGGGTCGTGGGAGCATTGGACTGGATATGTTAAAAGGTCATTATCCAAGTCACAAAGTGGTCGCTTTCAGATTTTCCTAGCTATCTGGGGTTTTCTGAGGGGTGGGCTAGATAAGGATGGGGCATTTCTTCGACAAGTAGTGAACATAACTATGCTAACTCAGAAATCAAAATTTAACACCAACATTATAAATGAATTTTACTTTTAAAGCTATTTAAGAAAACAAAAGCCGACAATTTAAGAGATTGAGGATTCTCTTCTGAAAATATTAAGATGGTATAGAGGTTTATTATGATAATGTGAATTGTCGTTTCCTTTTTCAAATCTTATTATTGTCATTTCTTCCATTTGCAGGTGAGTCATATTGCAATTTTTTTTTTCTAAATTATCATGGTACTGGTATCTCATTAAGAAATTAAGAAGTTGAAACATGAAAAGATATTGATTGATAATATATACATGATTCTACTAATAAAATGTTCAAATGCTAAATCTGGAAAGTTAAAAAAAAGAAAAAAAATATAAGCTGAAATTTGTATTCAACAGTTCTGTGAGATGACAAAAGCAAACTATTAAGCATGTTTAACATTTTGCTGCTTTTTGAAGTTAGGATGCTTGCTTAAACTTCTACTGTTGACACAGAAGTGTACTTGCAGATTAATATGGAGGTTCAATTGAGCTTGGAGCAAATACCTAACATGGAGGCATTTGTCAGCCATTTAACTCAGTCTATGCATGCCTACATGCCTGGGTCATTGGTCATATGGTGACTCCTAGAAGATTCCATGAGATACCATTTATTGCCAAGTGAAATTTCTGTGAAATAGGTCTCCCTTACATCATTTGCTTTTACCTATTATTGCTGGTGATGCAGGTATGACAGTGTGACAAAAGATGGTGCTCTTCAATGGCAGAATCAGCTGAATGACTACAATAAGCCTTTCTTTGATATATGTGATGGCATATTTATAAATTATACCTGGAGAGTAAGCTTTATCTGTCACCTTCTCAGGAAAAAAATTGTTTGCAATATTCTACTTTTACCTTGCTAAATGCCGTAAATAATGTGCAGGAAGACTATCCAGGGAGCTCTGCTGCTATTGCTGGGGGGAGGAAGTTTGATGTGTACATGGGCATTGATGTTTTTGGGAGGGGTACATATGGTGGTGGACAATGGAATGTATGTGAACATTCAAACATGCTGGAATAAAACTTTGTTCTTCTTTTAGAGTCATGCACTCATGCATGATTTCTGTGATTTTTTTAATTGGATATTCAACTTGCAGTCACTTGAAGCTACAAAGCCGTCTCAGATTCTCAGCACAAGGGTTCTGTTATTTGAATGTTTCCTGAAAATCTGAGTTACCGGATGATCTATAACAGTAGTTTTTCAATGGGATTTTAGTTTGTATTTTGCAGCTTCAAGGCATGCTGCCAACCATTTGGTGGGTCTCCATCTGAAGAAATCTCTAGACAAAAAATTGACTATATTGAGTATTGACTGTAACAGTCAATTGCCACATGTTTTATATGTATAGATGTACATATTTGATTGTCCAGGAGAACTTAATTATTGAATAATTACAATAATCACCCAGTTGATTTATGCCATGGGAAATACCTTGGAATGGACATAGAATGATTAGTTCCACTATCTTGCATATGTTCCTGTCACACATACACTATTTTTCCATTGGGTAACTAATATTTTAATCTGCACAAGTGGACTCCAGGAAGTGTGTTTAACATAATATTTTTTTGATAATTGAAAGAATTTTATTAATCACAAATGATAAGAAAGTACAAGCTCCCCAAGGAGAGGCATGGGATGCAACCTCTCCATACTAAGTTAAGAACAGCTTCCCAACACACTAAAACAAGTTACAAGGTAGCACAAAAAAGATCTTCCCTAGAAACCCCAAGTTTGGCCAAAGAATCAGCCAAAGTATTTGCTGACCTGCTCACCCATTTAACATTCACTCTCATATTACCAGTTAGCCACTTCACTTTTTTGAGGTGGCCTCTGTATCCCCAAATGACAGCATCCAGGTTTGAGAGCCAGCCTATTACCACCTGAGAATCCCCTTCAATTAGCAAATGTTCCACCCCAAGCTGGTTGGCGATTTGGATTCCTTGTACAGCTTCTAGTAGTTCTGCCCTTGTAGAATCTCCCACTCCCATTGGCCCTAAGAATAAGGACACAATGTTGCTTTCCTTACCCTCAGCACACCCCCTACGCCTGAAGGCCCAGGATTACCTTGGCTGCTCCCATCAAAGTTTAATTTGATGACACCTTCCGGGGGAGGTATCCATTCTATAACTCTTCTATTCTTCTTAGTGTATTAGTGACTACTGACCGATTCCTCCATAGGCCATCAAAAGAAAAATCAGCTAACATATCCAAGGTTTTCAACCAATGGATTGCTCTCGTCAAAACACAGTCCTTCACTTCAGCCAAGCTTCTTTCCTTTTCTAGGAATATTCTAGCATTCCTTTCCTCTCCATAAGGTAGCTTCCCTAAGACATTTCCACATGATTTTACCTCTTCTCGTATTCCACCCAAAAATAGAAGGATTAAATAGCAAGCTTACATCAGATGGCTGAATCCACCTACAACCAAATAGACTAAAGCTCCAATTCCATAACTTTGCAGCAAGAGAAAAGGATATCAGTAAATGAAAGAAGTCCTCACTCTGGGCCTTACATAGGGAACACCAGTTCAGGGAAAGACAAAGAAGAGGTCTCCTTTTTTTGCAAGTTTTCCAAAGTATTGATTTTCCCATAGTAAACTTCCCAGCATAAAACAGTAATTTTGGGGGGAATAGGTCTTACCCAAACTTCTTTAACCGGAAACTTTCGGGGGTTTAGATTGAAACTTGGGGATTTTAGAAATGAAGCATAAGTAAAGGTACCTTTCGGCAAGGGAGTCCAGACTCTTTCATCAGGTTTTGTGGGGTCCAAACAAACTGATTCAAGTAAATGAAGAAACTCAGTAACATAAGTAAACTCACTGTCCCGTAAACCCCATCAAAAACCAAAGTCCCAGTTTAAGGATAAGGGAAGCAACTGTTCCAGTAGACACTTTGAAATTGGCTCATTTTTGTAAAGGGAAAAAGGGAGTATAAGGAAGGGAACCGATCCTTGAGGGGTTGGTTACCCACCCAAATATCCTTCCAGAACTGAATAGAATTACTAGAACAAGTATCATACCTGACAAACCTGAGGAAGTGAGGAAGAATACCATGTATGGATTTCCAAGGTGTTGTGAGGGTAGCCCGACGAGAATGTTGTGCACTGAATAGGGTAGTGACTCTACCTGTCATATTATGCACTAAAAGGGGCCATTACTCAATTTTGGTATTGGTTATCAGGTGACTTGGGAGAGGGAATGGGTACAAACCTAACCTTTGGCATTTTTGTACAAAGTGGCTGCTATCACACTTTAAACACATCTTCTCATGCTTGTCAACCTCGGCCCTGGGATTTTACCATCACATGTAACCGTGACTCATATGTACTATAGTTGGAATGAGAGTATAGGAAGAAAAAGTAAGAAGAGAGAATGAAGAGGAAGGAGAAGAGGAAGAGATTTCGGGAAACAAGGTGTGTCACATTGTTCACACCCAAAACAATTCTCACTTAACTTAATAAAGAAGAAAATAACATATATGCCCTTTGTAGAGAACACTGATGTGGGCCCCACGACTGTGGTCCCAACTGTGTTCGTATGACAGCACATGTAACCTTTGATTAGTTTGCCAGTGTTAGTTGGTAGTTGTCTTAGACAGCTTGTTATCTCAGTTATTTATTTGTTTTATTTGCCATGTAAGCATTAAGGGCAATTCTGTCCTTTCCTACATTTAGTGAACATAAACTATAAATATTGAGAGAGTGG